CTAATCGCAATGATCGCAAGCAAACGGTTTTCAGTGGCAAAATTAACAAACAGACAAACTCCTGACTCAACAGAACAGTGGGTAAAGTGAAAGTGCTGTCCAGTAAATGCAACGACAAGCAAAGTCGGCAAAAAAGCGGGCAGCGCTACCCTTAGACACACAAAGCAAAATCATAAGAGGGTGTCTCCTACAGACACAGATTGGACACACCGTGTTTCTAGACTAGTCAAGATTAAGTCATTGAACTTCACTCTCTCTCTAACTGACTTCTGTTTGACCGATTACGACCGATTTACGACATCACACAGTCACTCTCTTATATAGGGGAGAACGGGACCAGAGAAAATCTCTCTTATATCCGGGTTTCTCTTATATCCGGGTCTAATTTATATACATCTACACAGGCTCTAATTTGGGACCAGAAAAAATCTCTCTTATATCCGGGTTTCTCTTATATCCGGGTCTCTTATATCCGGGTTACAATGTATTTCTGAGATGAGGTATTATGGACATTATTTACATTATTCGGACTATTGTCCTCATCTTTTTCGCCATATTTATCACAACGTTTCGGCCGTTGTACGCTCCGGTCTTCATCAGGTGTTTGGAATGTCGATTTATTTCGCTCATTGGGGTAGACTGTTCTAGTTCCACGTGCCATGTTTTTAATGGATGTCAGTTATCAATTATCTCCTGTTAATTTCCCTCTGAAAGTTCTCCACTGCCTTAACCGGGTATTGAACTCACACTCTTTGGGTCGTGTCACTGGATCTAACCAACGCCTTTCTCCACTGTGCCATGTATACCCCATTAAGCGAAATAAAGGGTTCAGTTCGACATTTCAACCACCAGAAGAAGGCCTGAGCGTACAACGGCCGAAACGTTGTGATATATATGGCGAAAAAGATGAGGACAGTAGTCCGAATAATGTAAACAAATTAATTTTTGTAATGTCAACGAACACTCGTTATCACGGGTAATAAGTTCGATCCTCACTGGGTGCACCATACATTCGTCCCCGTGACACATATAATCTAGCTAGGTAAATCACTATATGCAAGTACACCTGGGGTTTTTTTTATGAACTACACATTGAATGTCTAATAGGTTTTTCGTAATTATTTAACTGTTAAAGCCTTTGCATCCACCTAATATAAAATATTGAGAAAAATAAAATAAGTCCGTAGTGTATGTTTTCAATCAACAATTTAATTATTTTTCAATCGTAACTTGGTATATCGACAGGGAATTCAGAATTTTAAGTATATAAGAATGTATTTTAATCATGAGTATACGGAACTAGAGTTTCAGTGATTATTTTTAGCTACAAAGTTAAGATATAACAGATCTGGTTTTTACGCCAGACGTGTCCTCCAGGAGAGTAACTGTCTACCTTTATTTTTTTTTATTTTTTGCAATCACTATTCACCCCACTCACCTGACCACAATATATACAGATATGAATAGTAAGCAGCTGCCGTAGTGAATAAGAGTTGGCTAAACTTTAATACTTAATAAAAAGTAGCCTCGAGTTAGCCTAAATTAATATATATATATATATATATATATATATGTATATACAAATACGCTTGTCTATATATATATATATATGTGTGTGTGTGTGTGTGTGTGTGTGTGTGGATGTATGAGAGGTAAGTGTGCAGCTGTGTAATGTAATATTGTCTATATGACATAAAATTACCAGCCTGTGAGGTGGAGTAAAACTTTAAGTCTTAATTTTATTTCGTATATGATAATTGAAAACAAATTAAATTTTCTTGAAAGCATTTGAAAAGAATTCCGATCGGTGTCTGGGGGTATGCAGACCTCAAGTGAAATTATCGAAGTACAGACGTTCTTTTGTTTCCACCGATTAATTCCATGCCACTGTGGAAGGGAATATCACAATACGGACGCATATGAACAAATATCTTCTCTCAGGGAACGAAACGCGTTTTCCTTTTTCATTATTCATATTGTTTTTTACAAATATATTTATATTTATATGTGAATTTTACATTATATATATATATATATATATATATATATATATATATATATATATATATATAATGATCATTGAAGTCAACACTAAAGAAACGACAGGCTGTTTCATGCCTGACGATTGCGTCCAGCATGAAACAGCCTGTGGCCCGTGAGTGTTGACTTCAGTATTCACTTTTATATTTATATTTACATACGCTCTCTCTCTCTGATATTGAGCACTTTATCCCATAGATTTAGCACACCTTAAAACTATATATATATATATATATATATATATATATATATACCTATACCTAGTGAGCCTAGGTAGGTTTGTCTGGCTCACTAGGTGTATCTGCTCTACGGTTATATTGAGCGCTTTTGTTAGTTAGTTGTTTACTCGTATCGGGTTTTTTTTTCTTTGGGCTTCAGACCTGCATCTGTGCGATTTTTTTGTCGGCAAAGTTCATGTTTGTAGCTGTTTCTTTTTTTAAAACCTTTTTTTTTCCCTCGAGATTGATTTGATTATTAGCAAATCAAAATTTCGAGGTTTTTTCGAAATGAGTCTAGTTATATATATATATATATATATATATATATATATATTTTATCATTTCGCTCCAAGCCAGGCAATAAAGCCACTAAGACGACACGGTTACTGGGTTTTTAGAGAATATGAGAGAAATCACTATTACGGAAAGAAGACAATAAAAGAATAAGAATTAAGAAAACAGAGGATAACGATTGACATTGCAATCATTTTTTTTTAATAAAAGGGGTTCTTACATTTAAAAAAAATATCTATATCACAAATTGTCTACGTCACCAGTTCTACGAAACTCACCATTTGTCTCTACCTATTCTGATGATGACAACTTAAGAAATTTAAAAGCTTGTTTTTAAAAAAAATCATTTCACTCCAGACAAGGCAATAAAGTCACTAGGACGCAAGGGATTACAGAATGTTAGAGAATATGATAAAAATATAATATTAAAGAGAGAGAACAATAAAAGAATAAGAAGACAGAAGAAACGATTGCCTTGCATTTAATTTTTTGAAGATCAAAGTTGACTGGGAATCAAGAAGCCGGAAAAGATTTCCACAGGCGAGAAGTTCGATAGAAGAAACTGTTTAAATTAAGCATGTCCACTGTTTTCGCGGAAAAACAGCATAGCGTAAATGAAAAATGCCACAAACTTAAAGAAAATAAAGTATTATCGTCAAAATGCTTATGTTATTATTTAGATGAAAGAAAAAAGTATTTTTTAATTATTTTTTGAAATTTTTTAATATTTTCTAACACGTTCGAAATTTTGGTTAAAATCGTCTTTGTTTACGTCATCGCGGCGACGTTTAAAATAACATAGTTTTTTTTTGCGTTTTTTTACCGTTGAAAACATATTGATTTGGAAATTCTTGTAAAAATAAAATAATTGTCCAATCTTAATGAAATTTTCAGGACTTATTCACAAATGAATGAAATTATTTTTGAAATATTTTTTTTTAGAAAATTTTGGTAAAAATTATATTTTTTTAAAATATGTTACCCCACATTTACTTAATTTAATGAAATTTCGCCCAAAACCTTTTTGGTTCCTGAATTTTTTTTTTTTGTTAAAAGTAGGAGTCTTCGAAGATGGTAAATAATCTACTTTTCTTTCACAAATTTGAGCTATTTAACTGAAAATCTGCTCTGAATTGAAAAATAATGAATCCAATAAAACTATGATATTACTTAATTAGAAAAGCTTTTAATTGCTTTTGTAAATAAGTAATATTAAGGACATTATTGTCTGAAGAAATAATTTTTTTCTGATGAATAATTAATTTTTACAAGAATTTTTTCGTTTTTTAAGAAATTTTAATTATAATAATTTATAATAGTTTTAAATCGTGTAAAGCTCTGTATTAGGAGGGTTCCTCGATATTATGTACTAATTAAGTAGAAAAAAAATTTACGAATCCAAAATTGCTAAGTTTAATAAATTTAGTTGCGCTACTTTTTTTAAAAATAATTTTTTATGTTGTATTTTTTTACTTAATACATTCCTTATTTCCATGTATGATATACAGAAATTGCCATTATTATAACAAGGTCACGTGATCTAAGGGTTTTGTCCCTTTCAAAACATTTCGTTTATTAACAGATTGTATTTTCCGATCAGCTGTAAAAGTGTAAACTTTAAATTTTAAATTATTTTTTCTTTTTTTCATTTACTATTTCACTAAATAATTTTATTTTATGTATTGTATTTCCATTAGTGTGTGTCATACTCAAATAGAATAATTTTTTTAAAAAACTCAGACTTAAAAATTGTCATTTATGGTCATCAGTAGTAGCTGTCATCGGCTCGTCAATCAATCATTATCAGTAAGATCGAACAACTGAACGGGACCGCTCGTTAATAATTGGTTGTATATTATTTTTTTTATGCTATAAGTAACAAAGATTTCTTTGAAATCAGATTACTTTAACTTTAAATTTTTTAATTTTACTAAAATAACGTGTCAGAATTTTTTTTAATATTTTAAAAATCGATAAATTTGTGTTTGTTTACAAATTTCTTAAAATTAAGAAAATGGCCGTTTTAAGAAAATTTAAAAATTTGAAATTCAATCTGACAATCAAACGTATATAGTTTCTTTCTGAAATACACCAGAATTGTTTAATTAATAGAAATCGTAAATTTAATTATTAAACTTTCGATTAAAGCTAAAATGAAATCTTCAAGAATGTTTTTTTCGTTGTAAAAATTCATTTTAAACTTCAATATAGAAAATTTATGCCGAAATAGTGGACATACTTAAATTAAATAGTGCATGTCAAAAACTGTTAACATATAAAAGATTTTTTTACATACGGTTTACACACAAACACACACATATATATATGTGTGTGTGTGTGTGTGTGGACCATGTGTGTGGTGTAACGATCAATGGATAACATTACTCAGAATGAAAAATTTGGAGACTCGAGTTCGAATTCCAATCGAGTTCGCTACATTCACTTCCC